TTCCCAAACGGGAGCCAGCGCTAAACTGCCGGGTTACCGGTTACCGGGCATGCCGAGTCGGAGCCCTACGAATGACACTCGAACGTAATTATACGTGAATATCTCTTTTGCGACACCATCCATGTAAGAATCACGAAATTTTAATGACAAGTAATACATATCTAATTAAACATAATAATAATATTCCTGGACACAGAGCGCTATCTAGTCCCAAGTTACAAATATTCATACACTTTATTACAATACAATACAAACCACATTAATAATAATTTACCATGTTAGGTCGTCCTCCACGCGGTCCACCCTGGAAAACATCGTGGTTAATTGCTTGTAAATTCATCACGAAGAGCTAACTGGCCTAACTTAATGCTCATCTTATTATACGTGCCTCGCCAGCATATACCGTTAGCGCAGGCGCGGGTACATCATCCATTAAAGAAACATATGTTTGTAACGTGGGAGGAATCGAACCGGCAACCATTGAAAGTATGGTGGTGTGCTGAACTACCGAGATCGTTTCATGTTTAACATGTACATACTTAGTATAAAGTAGGAGGGATTTTTATATAACTGGAATGGTAAATAAGCTGATAACCTGATGATAAATGGTAACTGTCGCTTATATACATAAACAACACCATGAACATAACGTCAAATAACACCCGTCTTATATTTTGTATTGCTATTATATTAATGTACAAAGTAGCCAATAATTCGACAGGGAAACATTAGAAACGGGAACCACTGGGCCTTGATACAAATATAGGGTACAGGGTCGGGTCAGGTCGACCTTCACACAGATATAAAGTTTATAAAAGATAAATGCATTTTCCTCAATAAAAAAGAGCTCAGTCGAACAGACAGGATATGTAATGAAAAGGAGAGATTAAGTAGAGATACGGGTATTGAAATAATTAACGTAATATTTCATTAAGTGATACAATATTACGGATGTTAGGAAAACTATAAAATGCAATAGGTAGTAGTGGGTAATACAACTTAATCTATTTCCGCCAAGCAGCTTGCTTTATTCGTGCTTCGGTAGTAGAATGTGTACCTACGAATAGATAGTGAAATTACAGGATAAGAAATACATTTAAAATAAAGAAGAATTATTGAAATTGAGGAATAATGTTTGTTATTGTTAGTTGTATGACTTTTTGCAATACCTTACATCTTGCACACACTTATTTAAAAAAAAGTCAATAAAATATTTTCTTTTCAGTAAATACTGACTCGAATAGTTCAAGGGTGCATTTATTCTCTAATCTATTCTCTTTAGTTTTTACATATAAATAGTGCTTATGTATGATATACTTACAACCTGTCACCAGTGATTCCGTCTCCTTTTTTTCGAGATAAAAGATGACCTTTGTGCGTCCTATTGATACAAACTATTTTTATTTTTTTCTTTACGATCCGTTCGCCCGTTTAGCATATGAAAAGGCAACAACAAAACTGACAGACAGAGATATCTATTTCGTATTTATATAACCTAGTATATATAAATGGACTGCCTACAAACTCATCAACAGAAATTGCCCAATTCCAGAGTGATATTGGAATAAAAACCTTAGTAATGTCACAAATATACACAGACCTTTTTAATAAAATCACCGGGTATATGTTACTGAATTCAGTTAGCCTCATGTATGTAGGTATATGAAATGTTTAAGTCTTGAAGGGCCAAATTATAAAGGGATAATGGGCCGTGAAATGCGAAGGGTGTTTAGGGTCACCGCGACCCTTGCGAGTTGTGATACAAGTGATTTTATATAGGATTTTTAACTTTTGAAAGAGGGCATCTAGCCTAATTACAGGTATGTTTTATGTAACAAGAATAGGAAAATACAAATCTTCATTTTCATAATAATCCAGCGCCATCTAGTCCCAAACTAAATAGATCTTGTTATGGGTACTATTGTAGAAAAATGACAGAAATACATAGATACATTTTCTTTGTAAATATATACATAATATACCTACTTACATAGAAAACACTCAGACCAATACATATGAAGGAACCACATTAAGGAATCACCTTCCTGGAATGGTATTTCCGAATCGATACGATATTGAAACCTTCAAGAAAAGAGTCAACGCATTTGCAATTTCCCTGGTGTTGCGGGTGCTCATTGGCGGTGGCAATCGCTTACTAAACGGTCATCTGCAAGTTTGTTTGTCCCCTTGTGTTGTGTTGTGCACTAAAAATAATAATATGTACAAATTTTTATATCGTGCGAGGAGTCGAACACGCGACCATAGGAAGCAAAGCGGTATTCTAAACAGCGAGGCCATCGATACTGTATTTTGTGACGGAATAACTGCCAAATGCTATACACATAAGTGAGCTGCCCTAGGATATGTTACAATACGTGCAGTGTAGCACTAATTACTTTTTTAATATTATTGCTGATTTTGAGGTAAATTGAAGAAAATCATCTGCGGGGGCACTTTTATCTCACATATTGAAACCGCCAAGCAGCATGCTTTGTAAGCTATATTTGACGACCTCGGTGGTCCAGCGGTCTAGCACACCACTTTACGTCCGATGGTCGCGGGTTCGATATCTCGCACGGCACAAACATTTGTATTCATGAGTATGATTGTTTATTTCGGTCTGGGTGTTCTCTATGTACAATATGTATGTATTTACGAAAAAAAATATCTATGTACCAGCTATCTAGTACCAATAACACAAGCTTTAGCAAGCTTAACTTGAGTCTAGATGGCGCTGTGTGAATTGTCCTGAGATTATTATTATTATTTCGGTTGGAGGTGTGATATGGCAGTGAATTATATCGTATGAAGATGAAGACATGACATCTTAGTCTTCTGGAATGGAAATGTGGTATACTTAATTGGCTTGGAACTCAACCTGGCATAATACATCACTAGCAATGGGGTTGTTAATCAGGTTGCGAACACTGATTAGATTTTTTGTTTTTTTTTTATATAGCACATGCTGGTGGTCACTCTATTCTCCCAAATTTGAATTTAAATGAAATAGTATTATTGTAAATATGTACATCATTAAAAAAAATACGAGCTGAGTCTCTTGTTAGTTCTTCTCATCTCAAAATCATTCCGAACTGACGGTAGATTTGACATATCATAAGAGTCTGTAATAGACCTACATGAATAAAGATATTTTGAATTTTGAATTTGAATTTGAATTTGAATCCACATTACTAAAAACCCCTTCTGGCCGTTCTCTAGATTTCATATGTGTTTGTATACAATTTATCGATACATAATTGAAATAGATTTTGAATGAATGGTGTTTACAATCATACGGGAGAAATATATACATATTTGTACATACCATATTCTGACAAACAAATAAATTATGTTTCTTTTCTTTTTAAATGATACTAGCTGTTCCCGTACTTTGTCCGCGTGGAATTTAACTTTATTTTTCTAAAATAAAAGTAGCCTAAGTTACTCCTTATTACATCAGCTACCTGACAAAAAAATGTCCCGTCAAAATTGGTCTAGCCATTGATGAGATTAGCCGGAACAAATAGACAAAAATTGTAAAAAATGTTGGTAGATTTACCGTATTTATATTCATATGCGTGTGGTAAAAAACTGTTATTTCAATATTACAAACAGACACTCCAATTTTATTTATATGCATATATAAAAGAAGGTAATACGGTGAGTACTACCTACTTCACATTCACACGGGCTTCAGTCAAGTGCGGGAGAGGTTGCACTTTATGAGGATGGTACTATTGAGGAAGTCAGAAATTATTAATATTAATAATAAGCATGGCATATTGCAATGAATGTACGACAGAAAAAAAAGCACAAAAATTTAAAAAACTTTATTTGATTTTCATTTCATTATTTTGTTCACAAGTGTTAATAGTTAGTAGAAAATAAATAATACTATCTAGGTGAATTTTGTTTTGAACAGAAAAATATATTATTCAATTTATTACATCTATTTGTACAGAAAGATTAGACTCATTTTCCACTGTGCTCTAAAATCGTGCTTTAAAACTTATTAATAAAATCACAAGGTAATTTTTTCTACTGACTTAACAATTATAATAAGTAATTGTCCATATTTAATTATAAAAATAAAGTGTTTTAAAAATATAAATATAGATATTCGTAATTTAAACACGTAATTGTTTTAATCAACATAATCGAAACTAAGGTAAAGGCAGTCTCAAGAAAAAAGAAATATTTTATTACACCAGCTTATCTTCATTATAGTTGCTGTTTATTTCTTAACTATAGTCGCTACAATTGTTTTACTATTACACTATTACATAAATCAAATTAAAATATCTTTATTTATGTAGGTCAGTTTAATCTGTGTTTAATAAAATAGAACTGACAGACTGGCTGACATAGACTAGAAGCAAAGTGGAAAATGTATCTGCAAACATTATTCGTTATTAGAGCTATTCCACACATTTAACTCTAAAATTCACAAATGTCACTCTACAATTCAGAAGTTTTGTTGAAGTTGTTGGGAAAGTTCCGTTTTATCAATAAATTAATAAGTAAGACCCACGTTTTTTATCGGGATATACGACCACAACATTAATATAAAAATTAATATTGATGTCGTATTAAAATACAACATATGGATATTTCAGCACTTATGTATTAAGGTGTAATACATAAGTGCTGAAATATCCACTTTATTATGATTCATTTTGTTTAACCCATTCATTGAAAAAGTCCTGATTTCTTAATATTATATCTTCACCCCGAGATGTCTATTACACTCGTCTGGGCAAAAAACCTTGGTTCAAAGTTACAAATGATATTTTTTGACTACACTTTAAAATGTAATCCACGGTTTTTTCACTAAATTTAACATTAAATAACACATGGCAGTATCAATTCTAATAATAGGCACACTATTATTAAAATACTCGCTTATATATTAATAGAAAAAAACATTAAAGTTGTTATAGAAATCGTATAAATTTATTTGCAAATCAAAATTTTAAAATTGGAAGAAATAGTTAAAAAAATAAATATTCGAAAGGTATAAATCGTGATAACAATATTTGATATTCGTACCTGAGTTACTTTGCTGTAAAAAAATATATGTGTGACCTTCAATGTTGTGAGTATAACATATGTTTCACTGTGTACCTTGTCACAATGACCTTATTAAATAATCATTTAAGAATGTTTGGAATTATAAATATTGTAATTGTGACAAAGTACTAATATTCGTATAATCCACGCACGTGGACTTTTCTTATAACTACATGTTACGTATTACGCTAGCGACGACTACACGCTAGCTATTGGGTCCCACATTCTTATCCGTAAAGAACACTTCATTTGTATTACTTCAAATTGATATATAGATATTTGAAAATTATATAAACCTATCATTTACATTACGAGTTACAAAATTATATAAATCAACTATTGAATGAATCATATACATATCTTAATAAATGTACATTTTTTTAACATATAGATGGCACAGATTAAGAAATAAGGGTATATAGTTAGATAGTTACGAAATTACATTGTTATTAAGTAAAATTGGTTATTAAATTCGTTAGAAAGGCAAGATTTCACTATTACACACTACATAGAACTTATAAAAATAATCACAGAACACTAAATCTAATACTACATCTAAAATAAATAATTGAACATAAGTGTAACATTAATATATTATGATATGTTTTGGAGTCAATTATTCGAGAATAAGCCTCCTGTTCGATGAATAATAAAACCTATCAAAAATGCTAGTACAACAAAATACATCTTCTACTTCAACTTAATTTTCAAATCAAATTTTAAAATAAGAATAAAGTATTCTTTTTTCAAATTCACTTGGTTGCGAAACTTCTTTTTTTTAATTCACTTTGGTCACCGGCTTCCATGTGGCCAATATGTAAAATTGAAAACTTGGCAAGACCCATGAAGATGAGATCAGTCGGAATCATTCTCTGAAGGCGCTTTAGTTAGACCCCGCGCGTATGCAGCCTGTATACTTTCACATACAAACTTATATTGACCCTGCAAAGAAAACAAAAATTCATGAAATAATTTATAGATGGCGGCATATTAACAAAATGCCTTTCGTATGTTCATAGGTTAAAAAAATGTCACGTGACACCAAAAGAGAGAGAGGTATATAATCATGAAATTCATATGACGTAATTTATAGATGGCCATATTAACAGAGAAATAGAAATAAGCTTTATTCAAATAAACTTAATATAAGCACTTCTGAATAGTTTATTTTTTTTATTCTAACACTCATTCGAAAAGCAGATTCATCACAAGAACGAACTTGCGTGTTGCCTGTTTAAATAAAAGTTGTTGCAACTAAATACACATTAACAAGCATGCGACAATCAACATAGAAACCGCTACGCACTCAATCTGTCTCAAAGATGGTCTCTGATCTCAATGATGTTTCTTACCGCATTCTGTATGCACATAGGCCTCTGGGTTCTCATGGCGCGGACTAAATCAAGTGGATACAAAGGCTGTCGCCGCGACAGTAACTCGATGGCCGTCTCCGCTAGTATCAGCGCCCCGGTTCTCCCCACTCCGGCTGAGCAGTGCACGATCATCGGTGGATCTAGCAGTCTCTCCTCTTCGCCGTTGGAGTCTTCAACCACTGTTGGTATTACTGGAGTTATAGAATTTATAATTAATAATAACAATAATAAACCTAACAGCGCCATATAGTCCGATGTTAAGCAGAGCTTGTGTTATGGGTTTTACACAACTGATATAATATTTTTTTATTGGTGTGTTTGGACTATTATCTGATGCTTAGACCTATAGCACTGCGACCTTCATAGATCCAGTGCTCGCCCTTTCTCAGAGTTCGCTACCTAGCCGTTAGGGACAAGAATTGAAGAATATTCTTAGGAGCGATGGTTTTTATCTCCTCAGGATAGAGTGCAGTATACACTTCGAAAGGAGATATTTCGTTTATACGACCACATATGGATGTGCAGTGGCGTTTCGTCTTCAGATTGGCAAATAAATTTTTCCTCGAGCGGGTTCCATAAAATCCGTAGAACACCCAGACTGATACAAACAACCGTACTCACCTATACAAATGTTTCTATCATGCGAAGAATCGAACTCACGGCCATCGCAAATAAAGCGGTGTGCTAAACCGCCAGACCACCGAGGCCGTTTGTGAGGGGAAATCAATAAATTATTATACATTCTTTTTGTTATTTATAAATATTTTTTATTAATAAATCAAATCCGAGTAATGATAATCTAACAAATAAATATATGTACGTACCAGCTCGATGCGTCCTCAGATGCGCACAGAGGGCGGTGAAGGCGATGAAAGCGGCAGCATCGTCGGGCACCCCGTGGTCCGGCCACGCGGTGTACTGCAGCTGCGTCACCGCTCGACTGCCTCCGCCCGCCTCCTGTACATCAACACGATGATGATATCATCTACTTACCACCTACAGTGCGGGACCACACCGCTGGAGTCACGATAGTATGCTAATGCACTCGTAAATCCGGCAATAGCATGTACACTCTTGTGTTTTTAGTGGGTAGGAATGTGTAGGAACATTCCCGCTGCACCCCTCTAACGGCGTAAAGGGTATTTTGAAAAAAAAAAAAGGATAATTTATGGAGCCAATAAGTGCCTAGATATTGTATCACGGACGAATCGATGCAGGAAAGAATGTACATGTAATGAATATAGACATTAAGAGCCGCCAGCTCGCGTATTCCACGTCCTTCAATCGTGTGAAGGTAAAATAAACGGTTTTATTATCTTTGAACTATTTATATGAAACATAATTCATTAACGAGCGTTAAATGATGTTATTTTTAAGAAGTGCATTTATTATAAAGGATAGGATGCATTATATAGTAATCATAGTATAGTATGGAGGATAACAGGATATTATTTTATTCATTTTTCAATATAGAATCTTATATAATTATTTTTAATGGTCATGTGAAAAGTATGTATAGTGTGTTTGAAGTAATTCAGTAAATCGCGGATAAAGTATAATTAACTATACTATATATTTATAAATAAGAATTATAACTGACCTTTAGAGACATTTCTCTTCTCGTATAATGTCCTAAATTATGTTCAGTATTTGTATGCACTGTGAGCGAGTTGGTTGCTTTTAACGAGGTGCCAACTTTGGGCCAATATTGGTGACACTTGGCGCGCCCTCTCTCGGCCAACACTGTCAACATTACTATGAGGCTGCTCTCACTCTCCCACACCATTTGCCAGAAGTCGCCAACTGTTGATGCTAGTGGACCTAGAAAACAAAACAAACATAATTTATATATACTATCTAATCTAAATCGGATACGAGATAGTTTGGAAAAATGGATAATGGCACCTGCACGATTCTGTTTGAGCTGCTGGCAAGCGAAATATGCAGTTGACGGTCTACTTGGTAGATAAAGATACCTGGAGAGATTTGGTTGCAAGAAGTATTCCTGGTGGTCACGACACACAGCCTTGAGAAATCGACAAAGATCTAATCTATATACTAGCAACTTTGTATATGTCATAAAAACTAAGCACAGGGTTTTAATATGATTTTTTATACTAATTATTCTGTACATTACGTTTTTTAAATTTATCAAAATATGTAACACATATTTTTATTATAGACTACCTGTGCCCGCGGTTTTATCCGTCATCTATCCATCCATACACAAAACCTTTCTCGTTTATAATATTAATAACATTAGTAATACTATATAAAGCAATATAATAGTACCACATGGTATAAATATGTATGTATTTATTAGCTTACCTCTGTTTCGACTAGGTAGCACTAGTCGTGGTCACGAGCTGACTGGAGTAACAGCGATGTATACGTGAGTACGTTAATAATTTAAATAATGTATATTCTGAGTTACGAGATCTGAGTTAGGTATCTCCATGTTTATATACGAAGCATTGATATAGTCGCCGGTCGGTCCGTTTTGCAAGATCACGCGGGTTGAATCATCTGTAAAGATTACAATTAGACATGTTATTTAATATATATGTATATTCTACGTTGATTTCGGTGTCTTGAGCTCTGTTATAGTTGAAATTGTTTAAGTTATGTTTTTCACTGAATATAATAGAAAATCATTTATTAAATTAAACTTAATTTAAGCATTTCTGAATAGTCATAGTTATAATTCTTTTAATCTACCGCTCATTCGGAAAGCACGTTTCGAATTGGAAATGTAAAATGTATTTAAAAGAGCAACACGCAAGTGTCTTGCTCGTTCTTTCAATGTGACAGCATTCTGAATAAGCGGTAGATTAAGAAAAATAACTATGATAAATTCAAAAGTGCTTAAAGTTTACTTGAATCCTATAATAAAAGAATTTATTATAGGATTTATAAATTATTTTATTATAGGATTTTCTATTCTATTCTATAATGGTTAAGATAGTGTTATAAATAATACATTTTTTTACGATATAGTGTTTGATATACTTACACGGCGCTATATCTCTATATCTGTTTTTGTTGAGATTGTGCGGCAATTTAGACATAAGGGATGGCTCCTCGGGCAGCCGCCGTAGTAATGTTTCGTATTGTTTCAACGCAGCTCCACTGGCCAAACCATCACCTGAAATAGATTTTTTTTTTAAAACTTCATTCAAATAAGTATGGTCCTACATAGTGTGGGACAAATTATATGTAAAGAGGATTAGTAAGTCAAATTCTATATCGATTACGGCACGATAGAGTTTTGTATTTAAAATGTACAATGTTATACCTATATATTATTAACTTTGAACATTTTAAACATATATAAATATATATTTATCATTATCATCATCAATGATGATGTATATGTGGTTTATTTTAGACACTTGTACGAAAGACGAATATCATATTTGTATGGAATGAGTTTGTTAGATGCATTACAAACTCATTCCATCAAAATATGATATTATGGCTGCGACTATATAATTAAAGTTTTGAAGTTAAATAGACATGGGTGTATTCTTTGGAATAATGGCAAAGCCAGCTTCGGATGCAGGCAAGGTATTATTCTGGCTGGTATCACATTGATTTAATTTCTTTTTGTCATTTAATATGCGATGGGATCGTCATCGTCACATCTAGTGTACAAAAATACCAAGAAAAAAGAGAATAAGAATAGTCCTTCGGAATCTCAACGTATGGACAGTCCGTTTATTATCTATTCCAATTTATAAAAAATCCATAAAAATTGTTATTGATTGTGTTAAGGCTGATTTTAGTCTTGGGAGTAGTGGATTTTATACTGAAAATTAAATGAAACTCAATGCTTGTATTGTGGCGGCTGATTGAAATATACTTAAACCGTGGCAGACCGGCAGATACCCCTCCGATCAATTTCCGTCCAATTCAAACGGGGATATACGATCTGAGCCGATGTTCGAATAGTGGTGCCCCAAACAATAGTATAAAGAATCGCCCCCTAACGTCCGGTGAAGCTGTAAAGGCCAGCTACGGCCAACAACATTAGAGTAGTCCGAAAAAAAAAACCGGCAGATACATAACTATACGATCCCGTATAGGCCTATAGTATAAAGAATCCCATTGCATTTAACAAGAAATAGTCTATTGTATATATACAGCGAAACTCGTTAAACTACTAAATTATATATTTCAAGTTTTACCTAGAAACTGAACTTACCTAGTAATAGCATAGACTGTTGTAACGCGTCGCCTTCAAGTTGTGCTGAGTCAGCGGCGAGAGGCACGAAGCACACGGCAGGCTCCTCTGGACCACCATCTTCGGGCTCGTACACCGCTGATAAACGTTTTATTTTTTATTACATTATCAGCTAGTATCTAGCACGTGCTACTTCGTCTGCGTTATATTTTTCCAGTTTTTGCAGCATTTTTTATTGTAACTCGACTTCTATTGATCGTAGAGTATATGTAGATAGCCAATAACATTGCTGTTAAATGGGCTATGTTACATTAATAATATAAATGTTTAAATGTTACTTTTTTACTGTATTATTATATAGTATAAAACAAAGTTGCTGTCGCTGTCTGTCCGTCCCTATGTATGCTTAAATCTTCAAAACTACGAAGCGGTTTTTTTAAATAGATAGAGTGATTTAGGTTTATATGTATAATACCTGTACACCCGGGCAAGCCGGGGCGTAGTAATAAAAATAAAAGTATATTGTACCTAAAATATTTTTCAAAATCAGTTCATTAGATCTAGAAATTAGAACTTTAAATTTAGAAACAGAAGATATTTCATCCATACGGACATTCTAAACAGCAAAAATAAAAATTATCCGCCTTTTAATAAGCACACTCATACAGTGTTCTTCTTGTAATTATTCTTTCCTTGTACAATAAAGAATTATTCTATTAGGTAAAAAACCTTTTATATAATGTGTACAATTATATGCAAAGGTGAAAAATATACATCTGTTCATAACGAGATAAGGTCAGATATGATGTTACTCACCATTCGGTTTAACAACTAATGTGAGGATGCCTCTCGTGTTCCTGATGAGTTGGACAACTTGCTCGTGCGTCAAATCGTCCACATCAGTCCCGTTTATTGATATTACCTGTATGTAAAGAATGTAAAATAAGTATTTAACAGGTATAATAGTCTAATTAATATATTTAGTTTTGTATTTTTTTTTTCGGACTACTCTAATGCTGTTGGCCGCAGCTGGCCTTTACAGCTTCAACGGACGTTAGGGGGCGAGTGCAGATGGCATTCCAAACCAGCGGAAGGACTTATGGAGCGGCTGAAGGCCAACTCCTGCCTGACGGATACGACTTTAGTCTGAGGGCACCACTAGGGGTTCGAACCTCGGCTCAGGCCGTCGTAATTTCGATCCCCGTTTGAATTGGACGGGGTATCGATCGGAGGGGTTTTGTTATCTATGGCTAAAAAATGTAATGAAAACATATGGGATATATGGCCGATTGCAATCGACTCTCTAATACTCTCGTCGATAATAATAATTTCTACAATATTCTAAAAGATCTTGGTCGGTCTAGAACTGCAATAAATTATATATATCTAAAGCTGATTTCCAAATTCGACAGGGAGAGAAACACGAGTAGTGAAGGCGAGTGTTGACGTACGTCGGCAAGGGGACCCTTAAACCTACAGCAAGGTCCAAGTCCTGGGAACCCCCCTGGAGCTGCCCGTGGTTAGGACCTGGTCCCCTCCTACAGCTGCCCGTGGTCAGTACCTGGTCCCCCTCCTGCTGCTGCCCGTGGTCAGTACCTGGTCCCCCTCCTGCTGCTGCCCGTGGACAGTACCTGGTCCCCCTCCTGCTGCTGCCCGTGGTCAGTACCTGGTCCCCCTCCTGCTGCTGCCCGTGGTCAGTACCTGGTCCCCCTCCTGCAGCTGCCCGTGGTCAGTACCTGGTCCCACTCCTGCTGCTGCCCGTGGTCAGTACCTGGTCCCCCTCCTGCAGCTGCCCGTGGTCAGTACCTGGTCCCCCTCCTGCAGCTGCCCGTGGTCAGTACCTGGTCCCCCTCCTGCAGCTGCCCGTGGTCAGTACCTGGTCCCCCTCCTGCAGCTGCCCGTGGTCAGTACCTGGTCCCCCTCCTGCAGCTGCGCGCGGCGCGGCGCCACCCTGGAGACGAGCACGGGCGCGCCGCCGCCGCCGCGCACGTTGAACCCGAACCGTCCGTCGGTGCCGGCCCGCAGCCGCACGCGCGTCCGCCCGCCCTCGCACTCCTCCTCCGCCTCCTCGACCGCTCCCCCCGCGCCGCCCCCCACCCCGCCCTCGCCCTCCGACGACTCCGACTCGTCCACGTACGAGAGCGGGACGCGGAGCGCGCGTTCGAGGAATCCGCCGTCGCTGTCGCAAAGTAGAAACCGTTAAAACGTCATCATTTGTGCCTTATTAGATATATTGTGGTTGGTTTTTTAGGGTGATATAGTTTGGTATGGCCAAATAATATGCGCGTCTGCAGAATAGAATAGATTTTCTGTCATTTTATAACTATATCAATATTGTTTGTTGTATTTGACACAAAAAAAAAACTGTAAAGGGCATAGAAGTCAAATGCACTCGTAATAAAATCAATACTTTAGTAGGACTCCATAATGAAACTAGAACTATACATTAATTATTCTTCCAAAAAATATAATTTGTTACCATCTGTTGAATCTCTCCTGATTGCTGAAAACTGCCTTAAAATCTAAAAAAAGATGTAATCAAACAGACAGCAGAAGCGACTTCATTTTATATTATGTAAAGATTACTATAGAAACAAATGGTACACTAACTCTTCATCGTCGTTGTGGGCGGGCTCGTCGGTCCAGGCCGCCCGCGGCGGAGGCTCGCCGTGTCCGGTGACTCGAGCGCTTCGCAGTGACATGGGACCGCCCGGTGAGGCTGTACCACCACCATTCATACCAGCGCCGGTGACGGCGACGGCACTTGGTGCGCACGTGCCTGCTGACCGCTCGCGGTTGCGTGAACTGCTGCGTCTGTGTACCATGTATTGAGTTAAAGTTTGATTTATAGCATAGGGGACGAACGAGCTTGCGAGCTGGTGGTAAATGATTACAGCCGCCACATGAGCACCTGAGACACAAGTGGAATTGCAAATGCGTTGCCGGCTTTTAAGAAGGAATAAGCTCTTGAAGGTTTTAATATCGTATCGGTTCGGAAATACCATCGTTGGAAGGTGACTTCTGTATTCTTCATAAGCCAAGGAGCTCTAGATAGAGTTTTGAATGCTTTGTATCGGACGTATCGGAGCATGTCTGTAGTACTCACCTAACAAAACTCCTGTTGGATGATCGTGACCTGCGGGCGTCTTCGAGCGCTTGTGTCTCCGTGCGCGGCACGGTGGGCGCGGCGAGGCCGGCGAGAGCCCCCAGGGCGCCCAGCAGCGGGCGGCGCCGCGGGGCCCGCAGCCGGAAGAACCCGTGCCGCTCCACGCTGCACCGCCACAGGGCTTTAGCGGCGCGGGCCGAACGCATATTGAACCCTAGCAACGTGTCGTAGGACTCGGACTGAAACAACATTGATAACGTACTAGAATACTTTGTTTATGTGATTAGAGCGATAATAAAACCACCTAATAGTAGGCGGCAACAGTTTACTGAGATATATACTCTTGACTCACATTTCGCTGCATATATTCGAATTCAACGTGGCAAGAACCTACTATTGTTTCTTGGATTTGGCTGCTATCGTAGTGTCCATCACCGTTTCAAATCAAAAATATTGATTAAAAGTTTTTTGATGTCAGACAAATCAATAACATTCACATTATACAGCTGAAATCAATACTTACTGGTTCTCTTTTCAACTGTATGGAGAACTGCTTCTTCTTGAATGAGATCTTGACGATCTTATTCCAAGAGAATGTGTTCACTCTTATGTTGTTCTGGATGACTACAATGCCTATTGACGTTACGCCAATAAGTATGTCCTTACCGTGGTAATCCTAAAAAAATTTAACAAATTAAATCCTAGAATAATGAAGAAAAATGTAACTAAACTATTACTTGTAGTGAACATTTAGTTTCTTGTGTAAATTTAATTTTCGAGTGCCTCAATAGTCCAGCGATATATACCAGGACTCTGATGATCGCGGGTTCGAATCCTTGCATGGTACAAACAATTGTATTCAAGAGTATGATTGTCTGTATCAGTCTGGGCTTTTTCTATGAGTATATTTATGGAAAAATATGTGTCTAAGTACTTATATCGTTTATCTAGTACCCATAACATAAGCTCTGCTTAGCTTGGGACTAGATGGCGCTGTGTGAATTGTTCTGAAATATTTATTATCAAAGAATAATAAACAAAGACTAGACTATTACATTTAGTGAAACATTTACTTTCTAGTGTTAATTTAATACTGAAATGACAGGATGATAGGCAAATTATGAAAGTAGCGCGATAATTTAATTACAAACATATACCATTATTAATACAGTACCTACATGATAATAAAAGTTATAATTTTCCTCAATAAATAGCGTCAATGTAAACATTAGATTGTAAATAAAATGGTGTGCAGACTTTGTTTGAACATACAAGCTATTGTTTGGCAAAACACACACGTCACATCATCTCGAGATAGCGACAATTAACCTCAAACTGAGATATTATTATTTTAGTGTGGTACATTAGTACTGAAAACTAGATCATTACTATATGTACATATACCTACGCGATCACTATGATATATATGTGGAAACTTGACGGCCTCGGTGGTTTAGCGGTTTAGCACACCGCTTTACTTCTGATGGTCGCGGGTTTGAATGATTGTATTGGTATAGGTATTTTCTATAGATGTATAAAATGTACATATATATGAAATATGAAAAAAATATGTGCAAGTATTTATACCATTTATAACATTATGTACAATTCAAAATTATAATAGTCTATATGAGGCTCACATTTCTATTACTATAACATAATATCTTATTCCAAGGAACATAGCTAAAATTATATAAACACTATAGGTGTTTTACCAACGTACATAATACTCAAATACGCAAATTACTTGTGGGATATGGCAGTAAAATTACAGGGTACAGCGTCATAAGTTGCACTCCATTAATCATATGACGACATGATACCGTGGTACTGTTCAAGTATATAGCAGATGGTTATCACTTACCATCAGGCGAACAGTCCGCTTGGTCATTTACGTAAAAAATGAGTTTCAACAAAATAACATTATAAGATGTTTTCACAAATTGTTACTGTTAAATGATACAAAACCATCTACACATTATGACATCTGAACTTACTTAACTGGATTTCTGTGAATTTCTAAATCGTGAAGCGCTATAACACCCAAAAAATAGTTATATCCACGATACATGAACAAAAATCTCAAGCTAGATTCTACTGTATTGTGTTTTTAGTAAAGATTATTTTTACATAACCTTGCATCATAATTCATTTTGTGACATCATATTATATAGTGCCTACCAGTGTCTATGTGATTTCAGATAAAATAACAAACCTTAGCCGGATGTGATTCAACACCATAATAATCGAGGCGTTTAGCATGCTCCAAGAAGTTAGCCTCGGCATCGGCAGGGGCTTGCCCTTTATGCAGTTTGTGGAGTTCCCGTATTTTACGCTCGTCTTCGGAACTCTGCTTCACTAGTAGGCACATTTCTGATAGGTAATTTGGTGGGTGCTCTGATACGTTGTAGTCGCCAATTTCCGCTATAAATATAAAGTATTTTATATATTTTAGTTCATATTTCATTCCAGGGATTCATAAACGTTGGTATTTAAAAATTTATTCCTTCTATTTTAATGAAGATATCTAAGTTGATGCGTTATTTTTGGTACATTTGATTTTGTTATGAACTTTTTGATCTGTTCCCTTTTTTTAATTTCGCAGTAATTATAACGTAAACTGATGTTACAACTCATAAATTTATAAAAAAATATGCAATTTAATATAAGTTTAAAATAATGAAAAACTCTATATTATAGATATAGATATATATAAATATAATTATATGGCACTTTCCTTAATAATGGTTTTAGTTATTTCAAACATAAATACAAAAGGACAGTATTGTATACGTAGCGCTTTAATAACAATGCTGGGACAATAATAACTGATTACTCTCTAAATATAGTTCAAATGACCCATAAAATGCGGAAAAAATAATACAACTAGCAGACCCGGACACGCGTTGCTGTGGCTAAGGTTCCTGAATAATATAATATTGCGACTATAAATTGAGATGTACGCTATCCTATCATTCAAGTTGGATCAAAGTGCACACAATGTGCAAATCAAATTTGCAACCAGTTCAATAGTTTAAGAGTTAATTGCGGGCAAACAACGTGACACGTAATTTTTATAAATAAAGATAAGTAAAATGTATTGAATACATTACCTTGCACTGTAAATGATGCTAACAATAGCATGGTGTTCTTTGGGGCGGCCATTCTTCCGTCCAGTAATAACTTTCTAATTTGTAAACAGAGAAGATAACGAGTATACTCTTCTGCTAGTCTGGATGGTTCAGGAGGGTAGTAGCGTACAGCGAGCCAGAATTGTGCATTAGTTCCCACTTGTTTCTTCACAGACTTACTGCTGTCCAGCCAACGCTGAAATGGAAATTTATATTAATAATAATAACACTACAAGATTCACATAAAGACATATTCCGGGCCAATCAAACGGATATCGAAATTAATACGAGCTAAGCCAAGTTTCGAAGGCCTAGAGGTGCCATCAGTCTAAAGTGGTATTCATCAGGCAGAAGTTGGCCTTCCGCCGCTCCATAAGTCCTACTGCGGATTTGGTGCCATCTGCACTCATGCTCTATTGTTAGGAGAAGCTGTAAAGGCCATCAGCAGCCAACTTACAAAAGTTGAAAAAAAAATTCCAAGGTAAACAGTCTTGTGTTATGGGTACTAGACAATTTCTATAAATACTTTAATAGAGTTTTAGAAAGGCTAACTAACTTGATTTCATGCTAATCCTATCATCCTCCAATGGCCCCGCCAGCGTAAGCCGATAACGGTTTACGCTGGCGGAGCACCATTCCATTTATCATCCATTAAAAATCTATTTTTAATGGATGTTAATGGAATGGTGGATTTAAAATAGATTTTTTATGGATGGTAATGGAATGGTGATGCAATTCCGGGGGAATGATATAGTCATTGTCATTCTGAGGGACTAAGATTGCAGACAGATTGCATAACACCTTTAATAACCTTACTACATATCTAGAATACTATGCGATATAAATATGTATGCCTTTCAAGATATCAAAAAGACAACACATAAGTGACTCACTGATTATCAAGTCACAAAATGACGTCACAGTGCAGTTACCTGCGTTATCTATTTGCGATCAAAAACTGATTTATAACTATATTGCAAATTTAAAACACCTATTCTTTATATATAACTAGAATTGCACATTGATGATTATTTTATAATAGATGATAATGGAATGGTACGCCTGCGCTAACAGTTTACGCTGACGGGGCACCAGTTCAGGCAGATGATAAATGAATATGAGTTCAGGTCAGTTAGCCCATCGAGACAATTCATTAGTAACTATCACGATGGTTTCCAGGTGGAACAGTATAGAGGTCAGCAGGCATGTTAGGTTGACCTCTATACTGTTCCACTTGACTGATGACTCCATAGGCAGAAATGTACCATGGTACACTGCTAGCAATGGAGTTATCATCTTGGATACATTACCACGATCTAAGTGTATCATGCAAATGAAAATTAACTTCATTACATTTGGAGTGCCATTTTGCTTAAATAATTTTATTGATGAATTAAAACGTGTTATAAAAGGCGGATTTAATGCTACAAGCATTCTCTACCAATGAATCTTTGGGATGGACAATGAATAATGATCCACAAATGTCGTACTTTAATATTTATATAATTGAATGAAGATTATAAGTAATAGATAAACATATAATTGTTATTACAGGCTCCATCCTGTAATAACAATTATATGTTTATCTATTACATGACATGATGATGATGATGGATGATAAAGGTGAAGGTTTAAAAGAGAAATTAAATATAAATAATAATATTTATGACTGTCGTTTACCGTTATCTCAGTATTTGTGGCATTCGGTGCGGCACCATTCTCAGTGAACTGTAAACCAAAGTAGTCTTTTTCAACCAATTCCAGGTGGAGAAAGACTTGCTCTAACAGGACACTTCCTTTGGCTTTTTTCTGTAAAAAATATACAAAATAATTTGCAAACTAAATTTTAAAAAATACCAGTAACTATTGGTCTCTTGTCTTTGATTGATCCACCATATAATTCAAATAGGGAGCGAAATTAAGACGGCCTGAGTCAATGTGTGAACCTCTGAACTCAGACTAAAGATGTATCCATCAGGCAGAAGTTGGCCTTCAGCCTCTAATTTGTACATTTGGAGTGGTATTTGAAGCTATAAAGGGCAGGTGCTTGCGGCACCTGCCCTTCATAGCTTATACTTACAGCATTACTTGATGATATTATATAGAACCTATTTATTAAATCTATAAAGAGACAAATCATTTCATAAATTATTCTGCAAACAGTACCCCAGTTATTTTTTTATATTTGCTTGGTTTTTACTAACTCATAATTATGGGTTAGTAACATGCTTTTATCATATGTATTATATTTATTATTATTCATAATTAATATTTACTGTCAATACATAATTATGAATAATAATAAACATAATACAACGGTCAACAGATATTAACATTTTTATGTTAGAGAATTTATCCTAATAAGTATTTACTTAACCATAATTCTAAAATATAGTAGAATGATTGAACCTTGACAACAAAAATATTTCCATACAGTTACCTACAGGAAATTTGTTAAGTAATTACCAAGTGCAAAAAGACACATCATGGTCATATATATATTTCCTCAGACTCTACAATGACTGTTAATATTACAAATCCAAAAGTGTGTATAAATTGTAGAAAGTATCTAAATGAAATTAGACATGACAATGGATTATAGTCTGTGGATAAAACAAGTTTTTGTGTTAAAACAGTAAATGAAGTACTGAATACATATATCAAACATGTTACATTTAAAACAGATAACATATCCAGTTTAACACTTTCAGAATGAAGAATTTTTGGTTTAGGTTTTCTATATATTATAACAGGGATGGAGTATTATAAGGGGAAAATTTCATTTTTGCAAAGCACAGAAATATACTGAAGTAGTTTTAAATATATTTTAACAATAGAGATTAAGATGGGCTATATTATTTATGGTTAGTTTAATTATAATTTGTGAGTTGATTTAAGTTGTATCTTTTAGAGTACAATATATTTTCTATACAATGAGAGATCATTACAATCATTGCACCTATGACAATTCAAGTCAGGTCATTGGTTTGTAATATCACAGTCTTAACAAACTCATGACAGATTCTAAATAACTAATTTTTAAATAAATGTTAAGCTTGGACCACTTTCTAACTTACTATTTTATTGATTTAGCTTTTTTTCAAGGAAAACATGGTTATTCTGTCAGTAACACACAAAATACTAATTTTATAATTTGCTTTTTTACACAACATAGCAATTAACAGAACAAAATTGTTATAAAATGTTATAAAATTATTAAATACTTCATGGAATTTCGTAATAATAACTTTTTAATTTAACAAATTTATTGTTATTTTATAGAATAAAAGAAGAATATTAATGAATTATATGTTATACTATATTTTGACACTATAATAATTTGCTTACGGTTACACCTATTTGTTTTATAATTTTATGCAATAAACGGCAATTTTCTTAATATTGAATTGCCTAAGAACTATCTACAAATTTGAAAACAATAAAATAAGTGAAATGAAATTTGTTAAGTAGATAATTCCTAAATTATAGTGTGAACTAGGGGAAACAGAGATACATTTGTAAGAGTTAAAATTGAAATCATAACTAAGACAACCTATTGACCCACTGCACTATTAATCAAGTTAATGGAGGTTAATCATCTATATTCTTAACTCTATGATGTAGCCTGCAATCTCAAGATTCTGTATGATTTTTTTTTAATTTGAGACTCAGTGTTTGAAAATTCCATAGTGACAGAATAGTTTTACTCACCTCGATTTGAAACGAATGCTGGGTCTCGTCCAAAAACTGCACAGTGACATTGAAAATATTGAGCTTCCGTTCTCTTGCGAGCTCGGAAGCACGCACGTTGTAAGTGCCACTTGAACTACTGAAGGCACGCCGCGAGACGCTCTCGATCATTTCATCTATTACTCACTTTACCGGATTCCTATCAGATAAGTCAACGCCCGGCGAAGGCGAATCCTCGCGGCTACGTCTATTCGCAATTATGTAGGCACTTAGTGAACCAACAATTAAGCTCGTAGTGAATCATTCGTACTGTCGCGCTCGTTACCGCTTAATTGCAAATATGTGGCGAACCAGCCGGTATTCTCGACGTAGTACACGGCCATGACGTAATGATATACGCAAATTTTTACTCTGAACGTAAGAACTAACCAATTATTTTCATGTTTATTATTGTCCGTCCATGTAATCTGGGTCCTTGCTATTTATATCATTCTATACTGCAAATCACGATAGCAGTTAGTAATTATGTAGTAGATAGCTCATGAAATTATATTTGTGTTAATTTCATATTGTAAAATTTGTAAAATAAATATTGGTCGATAATCTAATTACTATATAAGACGAAAGCAAAGCAACTAATATTGACTAACTGACATTGACTGACAAAATGATCTTATTGTAATGACATCCAATGAAATAAACTGACAGTGACTCGATGACTTAAAAGTACAGAGTATTGTTATAAACTATGACGACGACTGAATGAAGTGTAGTGATTACTTGCTCAACGCTGGGAACTTTTTTAATGGAGGGAGCGCCGGGCAGCGCGAGTGGCAGTGTCATTGGTATGGGAAGTATCGTGTTTACACTTTCCCGCTGCTCACTTCCCTGCCCAATCGGGCTGAGTGTAAACGTAGCATAACAAATGCATTAGGATTTCCTCACGATGGTTTCCAGCGGGACTCGCGTGGAGGGCAACGTAACATCATCCATTACTAACAATCCCCTTTCCACAGTGCTCTCACCATTATGGATGGCTGCTCAGTGTTCGCTGTTTAATACACAGAACTACTAGTAATATTAAATAAATTGTTATTATATGCAAGAGTCGCAAGTAGTTTTCGCTTCACAATTTATATTTGTAGTAAAATTAAATTTCAATTCATCCGCTTTAACATTGCCATTGATGCAACAGTGGTTAGGAACTCAAATAATTATTTGTGAATGACCTTTCAAGTAGATACCTACTAGTGATAAAGTATATATATTTCGGATTGGAAGAAAGTTATAACTCTATTTTTTCTTGTATTGGCAAGTACTGTTTCAAATTATAAAAGATAGATAAGTACTATATATATCTACCTACCTATTGTGATTTCATCAGTTTAAGGTTTAACGTTAATACGTTGAAATCTTACTTATATAGGATTATTATTAAGTACGGGGACAAAGCTACAAGTTACAGCTAGAGTATATATAATAAAACAAACATTCAAACAGTTATCTGTCTTTATTCTGCATCTCTTCTTAACCCAGCAGCCATAATCATTCGTTCGGTACCATTATAGGAAGAAAAATTAATATACTATTACATACTGTTACAGTTTGGTTTGAATATGTGTTACAGCTGAATTTATGTGTAAGTAGACTTTATAAATTGTATTACTATTTTATTACAATATGAATCATGAAAACCAGAGTGCAACGCGATTTTGCCATGTAATAATTTAATGCATAATTACCACGGACTAGCTGTTTCGTTTTAAATTAAATCATTTGTACTTAGCATTCTATGCTTTATTCTATTACACTAATGTTTGTTGGGAATCAGGTTTTTTTACAGTTTAGAAAAAAATTATATGTTTTTCTATCACATAATACTACAATTTCATTGTGAAAAAATTCTAAGTTGGTATCTATGGTTCATATTTTTAATCGTTTTTGTAGAGAAACCTGATTCTATATTTAAATAAGTACAGATTACGCGCAATACCGCATCGCACGATTTTAAGTCACTGTATACCGTACTGGTTGTTCAATGTACTATAGTGGTGTGATGTAGTCGATAAAAAATTCCGTTAAATATAATTTTATTATGGCCAAACTTCCCTTTTTTCAATATATTTTTTTGCACTTGTAATAATTTTTGAAAATATAAATTTTGATAATATTTTATTCCCTTTGTTCCTAAATATTAATCCAAATAGTTTTATTATCCTTAATATTGTATTTACAATTTTTCAACAGCCGAAAAATATGTTCAATTTTTATAATATTATTTTTTAACGACTTTTGTTAAGTAGTAGGTAACAGTACAAATATTAATGATCACAAGTTGGTTTTCATTGGTCATTAACATACATTACATTACAGCCTTACTCACTATTGGTAATACAGTTAACAGTAGGTCTTAAGTTGAAAACTAACTAAATTATTTACATAAGAAATTCTATCAAATATTAATATGATAGAGTTTATACAAGGTGTATATATATAAATGAAATCTATAAAATTCAGTTCATTCAGTAACAGCTAATGAAATTGTACGTAATTAAAAGCAGACATGATCAGTCCTAAGGGGTATACCAAGACAATAGAAAGTAATAGTATACATGACAATAATTACTTTCGATAAGGATTATACTAGAAACATTGCCACCTTTCACACTAAATTGATCATATAATCGCATATCGTATGTAAGATACAAAATATATTTATTTTCTTTATATTGCTTTTAGGCGGCCATTGCTCAGTTTAATTAATATTTCTATTTCTTGTTGTTATACCCATTACAACTAACCCTGTAACTCTTCTCCAATAATTACTGCACGCATAAAATTTATTAGTAAATTATTGGCTTTTAAAAGTGTATCTAGTTATTTATCTATTTTGTGTTTTGGTTACAATATAGATAAACTGCTCGGATACTTTTGTTCAAAGAAAATTAGTGGAACTATACAACAAGTACCTTATTTTACGAAAAGCGTCATAAATACGATACAATCGTTTAAAAATATCAGATAAACATTATGTGCATACTTTTTAGGTATCGTAACCACTTAAAATATAATAATAATTGTCAAATTTAATTTTTTTTGAAAATTCTCTATATAATATATATGTATAATAATATTTTCAAAATTTACATTTCCAAATGCGAGGCAATTTCATTAGTTTAACATTAATAACACAGAAAAATATGCACATCCTGTTCCTTTTAATTTAACATTTTAAGACCATCTGTTACATGTATATATATGGAAAGTGCAATTATTATATATATATAAAATATTCGTAATGTAATTATATAACAGAACAGTGTTAATATCGCCAAAAATCCAACTTGAGACTACAATCTTTTTAAAAAAGCTATCAAAATTATAATTAATCGAAATAAAACTAATAATACATTTTATTGAAATAATATTACGAAAACAATATTTACAAGTTACGACGATTTCTTTAATTATTATACTATACATATCATTTTATACCTACCTATTAACAAAAAAACCTACTAAAGATTAAAAAAAATCTCAGTAGGCCACTAAGACTGACAACACAGTAACTACTTTCATAATATCGATATTATTCTTATATAACTATAAAGTGCAACATTCGCTAGAAGAACGAAACAACTCAGAGTATTTTAATAAATTAATGTATCAATCTACATTATAAATTTATCGCCGAGAGTTAAATGTATTGTACTTATTTACAAAATGCAATATTTTTACAAAAACGGCTAATACTAGAAATACCCACACTTCGCCGATATTACCTTCACCGTATCGCTGCCTATCTCATTATCATTAGCACTTGTATGTAATTTTCCTATATTGTAGGAAATATCTAATACTGTGGCATACTTAGGTATCTATGAAATGTCGTTTTATTATTAAGAAGTTGAAGAAATCATTAGTTTTAACCGTGATAGTAAACTTATGGAACGGACTTTTTAAAGAATACGCTATTAAAGAGTAACGTAGACACTTGTCAGTTTATTAATTTGTACTAAAACACCTACATTAATAATTTAATGACATCCCATTCAATTCTATTTTAATCTACATCGAGACGAATGTTTCAGTCAAAATTTTGTTATTTTACATTTTAATTATATAGATATTCTTAATATTATGCACTTCCCATTCTTACATTGGCTGGAATTGCGCGGAGATTTGCGCTAAGGCCAGATTAATATTAAAATTACTTTTGAAAATCGAACCGACGAACACCTTTCTAAGTAAGACACTATCGATGCAAATTATAACGTGAATATCGAGACGAGTTCATTATACTACGTGCAAGTTGCAGATCGCAAGCAAAATTATCGACATCGATATTTAATTACTCGCCTCGTCATTAATTTTCAAGGACTTAACTAATGTGTTTCCGATTACTATTACGTGATTCTTCTTTATGTCATAGACAAAGTGATTAGTTAATTTGTTTTTAACTAAGCATTTAGACCATGCCTTTTGACATCATTCTAACGGTATTTTTCAAAGCTTGGCGTTTATTGCAGAACCATATTCTGATGACTTCACGTTCATAGCCTAGTTGGTGTGCCAGTCCAGTGATCTCAGTTCCTGAAATTGGAAATAATAAATAAATAACATTTTATTTTCTTAATAAAATTATAATAACAATCCAGGACAATTATATGGCGTTAGCTAGTTCCAAACGAAGCTGAGCTTTTACTAGGGGTATTAAACAACTGATACAAATACTGAAACACTTCTTTATAATAAATTTTCTACTTTATTAAAACATAAACAGAATTTTATTTTGCAAAATGGACACACACTTTGTATAATACAAAGAAAAGATACAAAGATAATTTTATAAAATGTGAAGAATTTAACCTGCGCTCATCGGAAGTAAAGTTGTATGCTAAACCGCTGGACCACAGAGGCCGACATTAAAGAAGTCTAGACTAATACCTACTGATGATGACAGCACATTTATGATGGCGAAATATAACCGATTTTTGATTAAAAGAAACTCTTCAACAGCAATTTTAGTGTGGAACTTAGATTAACTTTATTTAGAAAAGAGATATTCCAAATTGAGATTGAGATCAAATCTGAGAACTTACTAAGCAAAGCAATGTCCCATCACTATTCAAGGTTACCGATTAGTGATTATTTGCTAGATGAGATTTAAGTATGTGCTAATAATTAAGAATGAGAAATAATTATTGATGCATTTGGGTGTCCTGTTCTATCTCATATCTAGGATAACAATGATATATATATTGAAATGAATCGGAATCAAAAATCGATTGATTTGCTACGAGATTCCATTCATTTATGACATCTTTCATGTGTTGCTGTCTCTGAGGATTAAGGTATCATACCTACGAATCATATTATTCCATTCCCATATCTCAAACACAGCTTATGGCCCACGAGCCAGCTACAGGTCATCTTCATCATCACCATATCAGCCCGGAAGACGTACTGCTGAATAAGGTCCTCCCCCAAAAATCTCCACGACGATCGGTCCTACCCTGTGCGCATCCGACGCTTTCCAGCGATCTTGATCAGATCGCTACTCGGGGACTTTACTGTCCCAATGGCCATCTATCCTACGAGCTATGTGTACCATCGTATCAGAAGCTACAGGTCAATGTGACTGATTTTCTCCCGGTTGAAAACTTCTAGAATGGTCAATGTACCATGAAGCCTAATTATATATTAACCATTTTATAAGTTTTCGGCCGAAGAAGCGACTGACGAAATTAAGGACTGGCTACGTCTTGAATCACGATAACTGAAGTCCTTCACAAAAAGATATCTACACTATTTTAATTACATAACAAATTCCTTCTAGTAGTAATTCTGAAGGAAGTCTTCCGGGCTGAAATGATGATAATAATAATAATCTCAGGATAATTCACACAGCGCCATCTAGTCTCAAGTTAAGCTAGCTAAAGCTTGTGTTACTGATACAAGTACATAGATAATTTTTTTTTTCGTGAATACATACATATTATACATAGAAAACACCCAGACCGATTTAAACAACCATACTCATAAATACAAATGTTTGTGCCGTGCGAGGTATCGAACCCGCAACCATCAGACGTAAAGCGGTGTGCTAGACCGCTAGACCACCGAGACCGTAAGATGATGAGGATGAGAAATTTTGTAGTGGGGAAGAATAAATTATTACCCACCAGAGGGATGAGTATTCCTCTCAAAATGTGCGTTGAGCAACTCCAAAGCCTGAGGAGTGAAGGATGTCCGCCGTTTGCGTTTCTTGCTTGGCTCCATACCGATGAAGTCCGTTAGGTGGTTCTGACCAGATGCGTACCTGTAATGATGAGTTATTTAATAAATAAACTGCTAATAATTAAGGAATCGTTAGATTAATACGATTATATTAATTTGCAGGAGATAGGGCAATAGCCAAATATAGCAGCTATATCTATATGTCATATAGATAATAGCTATAGTATGATACAATTACAAGAGTAGCAATTACTTTCAAGGGGCCCTCGATTTATATTCTAGTAATTTTTATGGCCCAACGTGAGGGGCGGAGGAAAGGGGTGGCATGTATTGTTTAAAATAGTTCTTTTAATCATTTGAATGTCTATATAGATAGAAGTAAGTGAGAGAGCGGAGGTTCTCATTACGCGGGACCCGTAATATTTGCTACTCTTGTTAGTAGGCTAATTTGGCGCTGATCACAAATTGTTTAAAAAATATGACACGATTGGAAGACTTTCCAAGATGAAGGATGATGGATGAAGAAGAAGGATGAATAATATGATTACTTCAGAGAGGAATGTAATAGCTCTTTGATTCCTAAATATTAGCTAGGTACTATATTTAAGAGCATTTGCTTTACTTATGTACGTACTGTGTTGGAAATATATATAGTCAGATCCTCCTTTTTTAATAGTCATATTCTTTTGGTATTTACTGTTAAAATAAGACCTGCACAGAACTTTCTGTTCTGATAACACTATACTAAAGATCTGTGGTAAAGTTTTGTATGACGGGCATGCATATACTACATTTGTTTCTGTAGATTTTTATCAAATAATATAAGCGTTATTGTTTCTAGATTAATTATTGACGCCCCCTGGAATAGTAACGCCAATGAGGATGTAATATATAAGATTTTGGACTGAGTGTACAGTACAAAATCTTAAATATTACATTATGGTGACAACTACGATATACCTAATTGATAACGTCATTAAATTAAGTGGAAAGTAAGAAAAAGGCAGCAGAGCATATTAAAAAAACTGAACAACTTTCACTATGATTCAATGCATTATCAAAATGATTTTTTGATAATGCATTGAATCATAAACTTTCTTTCTAAAATGCATATGCTTAGTTAAATACATTTTTTAATTGCAGAAAAATCATGCGGAATTTGTGTAGGCAGACCGAATAGGCTCTATACTTTAAAGCGTGAATGTGAAAGTACGACCCTTAATAATTACTATCTAGGTACTAACTACGCTCACGCTACAACCCACGCTACACGCTACGTAACACGAGTTGTAGCGTGAGCGTAAACGAGTTGTAATGTCAGCGTTAATATAAATAGTATAGGATTTATATAGTAAGAGATGATAAAGGTAATCTCTTACTAGGAACATTCTATAAATACTAGCGACTTCGCACGCACTAAAGGTGAATTTAGACACGATTTCCTTTTTGATATACACTCAATTTTTTTTGTCTAGGTGAATATTAGGAAATTTTTCACATGGCTTGTTGTTTATTCCCTCAGTTTTTTTCCATCTAAAACCATCTTTTGTCATCTTTACTATATACATTTTATTGTTAACATGCAACTATGTACATATAAACTAATACAAAAACATGCCTTTTTATGTATACTTATAAAGTTAATAGATAGAATACATATATCTAAGTAAGTCGAAATATAACTTGATTTCCTGTGCTATAAGTATATGATTAGAAATACAAATATAGTTAATTGTAACATGCCTTTTTATACTAAATATGAGTATATATATGATATACTCTTCATTTATGTTATTCCTTCAACTAAAATCGGATACCTTATAGAATATAGTATGTACTTAGCTAACTATTTTTGTATAGCAACATAGTTATAGGCATAATTGATTCGATCCCTTTTACACTTGAATTATATCACAATCATAGATCCCAAAGGTATAAATAAATTGTGAAAAAATGAGATCTTGTACCTATTACACAGTTTTACATATATTGCAGTCAGAACTTTTAAACACAGAAAAGAAGATATTTCCAAGGACTAAGACAATCAAAAGTCACGTTAGCTAAGGAAAACTACAGGTATTGTTTCGAAAAAAAAAATGTGATTATAAAATATATAAACTGTAACACTATATAAAATACGGCCCGAAAATAATATATTCTCAAAGTGGTGCTATTCTTTCACGCAGCAGTTTTCTGTAAATTGTCAGAACGTATGTACATATATGGAACATACTTCAGCAAGTCTACATTGACGTGTCGGAATTTTTTTTAGTTCGAATGTTTGCCCTTTATAAATATACTCCTGAACAAGTTCGAGAGGAACTCCACAATGGCGTCCGGTTCCGGACGAATGTGATCATTGAACATCATCTTGGTATTGTCCAAATTCATCCGGAGACCGATGCGTTGCGAGACGACTAAGCCAGGCTATTCAGCATTTGTTGTAGGTCCTGCAGCGATTCAGCTATAATGACGATGTCGTCAGCGAATCGTAAATGAGAGACGTTCTCGCCGTTAATATTAATGCCGTAATTTTTTCCTAGGTCTAATTGATTACCATTTTTTTCGAAATTTGGATAATTTCTTGCAATGGAAAAAAAATTATTCCGATGAGGCAGTCCAAAGCGCCTTCAAAGATTTTACTGATTCCCGTCCGAATGGTTTTTTAGTAAAGGGATCAATGAACTGCCTACGAGATGGTAAAAGTACATAAATAGCAATACAAACTTTGATTAAATATATATATTTTATTTTAGAAAAATTGACTTTAGGTCTCCCTTACAAAACGCCAATATGACATATGAAATGTTAGGCCCTAATATTTTAGGAAATTTATTTTCATAGATTTTAAACTATTAGTTGCATGGATAATATAAATAAAAATAATTGTAACGGTTAATTCAACTCGGAAAAACTACCTTACCCGATTCTCAAACATTCGTTCTTTGATTTCAAACATTTCTCCAGAGTTAGTCTCTAGAGAAAATCTCTTAAAATATAACACTATTAAACAAATATATACTCTACGTAGTTCTAATTATCGATTCCTGAATTATATGCTGGAACTCATAAACTAAAATACGAAGATCATTATTTAAGTACAATACGTACTCATTTTACCTACGACCGGATTAAAGCTCATCGATACTAGTAAACTGTTTATGTAAATGTATTTATCTCCAATGTGAAACTATAGTTTCTTTTACTCTTTTGTAACATATAACTTCATTACCAAAGTAGAATATGAATAATCGTTATCAAATATATCTAATACAAACACTTTTCAGTAGTCATATTTGTGGATTCTATCCATCATTCCGAATGCTGACTCATCATATGAAGAATAAGAACGAGTTCATTTAAATAAATATTGTTCAGAATTATATTTTAAAGATTTTGTCAGAATAGAACTGCCAAATGGCAATATATTGACATAAGTGAATAAATAGTAATTGATTAACAAAATAAATAAGTCATAGTTATCAGAAAAGACCCGTTCCTACAAGTAACACCTGACCGACCATTCGAATGAATTTTATTACAGTTCATAATTATATATTATTATTATGTTAAGCTATTTTCAATATGTTTGTTTTCTCTTCAGAATATAATTTTATTTTTTCTGAAAATTTCTTATTTCAATTGAGAAAATTTCTGAATTTATTTTGTATTAAAAAAATATATAGACGCCAATGACACTCAAAATATGTCTATATACATACATATATCTGTCAATGAGAAAAAGCAGGCTACCTTTATCTCGCTCAATCCTAATTACGCTAAATCGAGGGCAGAAGGTACCTACATGTTAATAATTATAAGGACACTAATAACAAAATCTGAAACAGCGAGAAACTGAAAGATTTCATGTTAATTCAAGGACTACTGTTAACGGGGACGCTCGTTAAAATTACCACGAAGAGGTTAGATTGCAAATTCAATGCACCATTTGCAATGTTAAATCCGTCCCGTTGCATTCAGATAATGCATTTTAATGATGCAAAATGTAAAATCGATAGATCCTGCGCCCCTTGCAACGATATTACCGCATCGCTAAAGATTTAAGTCACACCTGGTCTGTTTATGAAACTTTCAACATATTCTGATGCTTTGACGGTCAATGTTTATATTTGATGTACATTATTTAAAATAAAATTTATCTTTAAGACTGTTATTCTAGATAGGATTATCAGAATCATCATCAACTTATTGAATTTTGATGAATGTAACATCAAGTGTGTTGTCTTATGTAATATAATAATATACGATGAAATTTCGATAGGGCCATTTGAATGTAACGTAGTCGATGGTGATTTTACAGGTGTCTTCTATCCATTAAGTTTGTTATCGGCATTACTATCATAGCAGAGTCAGTCAGAAATAGAATTTGATAAATTTGTTGGAATCGGTAAAATTATAATTAACGACGTTCGGGAAGTGACTCAGGGTAGTGGAAATCATTAACTTTAGTAGTTGTTTTTTAGATTCAGGGCGAATACACAGCCAAAACTGTTGTTTCCATACTTGTCGTCAGTATAAAAGTATCCATATCGAGACCTAGAAGTGTGATCTCTGTATTTTATTAAGTAGCTAAATAATATATATTTTTTTATCATTCAATTAGTGTTATCCTTATTTATTATAAATATAATCGATGTATTTATAATAACGAAGACCTCTTATAACTCCATTTTATCTATTTCAGTATTTTGCCACATTCTTTTAAATGACAAACCAAGCTCAAAAGAGAATGACAAAACATATAATAGCTAAGATTTATTACGCTTTTGAAGGTGAGATGAATTTAAGAGCAAAAAACATACATTTTTACATAATTTTCGCATTTATTGTTAGTAGGATTAATTACTATATTTACTATGTAATACGAATAGTACATACTATATTAGATAAATATAAAAATGAATATTATAGGCATATCGTTGCCTTACATGAATTTACCAAATGTTGGAATATTGTACCATGAAAAATAGATATAATTCCAAAATTTGATAACCATGATGATTATATAATAAATAATAATATTAGTACAATATTAGCGAATACAAATAAACATAATGCCTAGCCCGTATAAGCAGTAGTTAGTCCAGATTTGAGAAATGTCTTTACAACGTTGCTAAGCGTTATAGGCCAAATATCACGAGCACGGTGTATACACAGTATCACGAACATATTCACTCAAACAAATAGTTACCTCTCTTCTGCTTCCTTCATCCAACGTTCGAGCACCGGTTTGATTTTCTGCGCACTTTTTGGTGTTATATCCAATTTCTCAAATCTGTATCGAACACAAATTTAATGTTAGATTCTCACTATGCACGCACCGGTCAAACAAAACTCTACCGCGGTGATAATTGATAAAGCTTGTGATTATTTCAAATTTAACGCGGTCGATTTTTACCCAATCCAAATGAACATAGCGTAAACACAGGACATTGACATTGCGCTAACGATTATGTGGAGAGAAAAAAAACAATAGGCAATTTATGCTGCCGGGGTAATCAGTTTGATTAATACCGAACGAGGTAACAATAAAACGACGAATTCAATTAGAAACGAAAACGTAACGTATGCCAATGCCCTGGCTTTCAATTGCGCAAAATGAATATTAATAAAAATAAGAGTAATGAAATAATACATCATGCTAGATTAGATGGAAAGCAAGAAATTATTCATCGAGATGTAACTACAATAAAAGTGATAAAATTCTCACAACGATTACTCATGGTGTCGAATAGACATGGTTTGGTTGCCGGTACATTAATGTGGCGCGGTTGTCTTAACATCAAAATGTAATAGCCGAGCGTATGATGCATGGCGCCTTTACAGTAATAATTCGTATGCAAATACAGAATACGTGTGAAAAGGAAAAGAAAGAACGTCAAAACTGGTAATTACAAATAATTATATGCGGCATACATTCGAAAAGAATGCACGGATCGTCGATCGCGATAAGATTACATTAAATAGCGTTGAAACATTTTGATTTAAAGACAATCTACATGTGGACTGGGCCGTCGAAAGTGAGTCAAAGCGTGTGCTTAATGCATGTAACTTAAGTACCTCCAAATTTATCGTCTTACAAACATCTTTTGTAGTAATTTGTGTAGTAATTATCAAACAGTTATTATCATTTGTTAATGTAATTGACCGTGTTTGGGAACGATAAATGTGGCGGTACTTGGAGTAGGGGTAAAAAACAAAACACATACATGTTTTGTTGTTGTGACGACAGCTGAGCTGCTAGCATCTGCGAAGCCAGGGCACTGGGGACGGTAACAAATAATATGTTAGATTTGTCTTATCCAGTGAGAGATGACATCCTTCAGATTCTAGAGAGTATGACAATAGTATGAAAATTAATTACAAAATTAGTAATATAAAGCCGCACGCTTATAATAGTAATAATTATTACTTCGATATAGTTAATGATGGTAAATGTTTGTTTTATATATTTAAGATAATAGCTTTAATTGGCATCAAGTATAATCTAAAGTTTGTTAAACCAATTGAAGTTCCGGCGGAAATCCCAAAACAAGATTCTATCCTGTTTGTTCTTAGTCGTAAGTCTTGACGTAGTTACATGAAACATTAATCTGATGTGTGGACATATTTATATGCCTCATATAAAATTATAATGGAGTGCAACCTGGGGATATGGATAATTCAATGTTTATCGTACGAGATGTGACAATGACCATGAGTCTATTCAATATATCACATTTTATAAATCAGAAAATTGTACGTGATTTTCTATAAAATTACTTATTCTAAGAGTTTGTTCAATAAATTCTTTACTATTTCAGTTCAACTATTTAAAAAATTAAGATTATGTGTCGAAATTATGTCGTATCATGGTCATTGTTTTAACTTTAACAAAGTTAAATTTCGCCTCCCAAGGCCTACAATACAAGAAAAAAAATCTGTTATCAACACGAAACAAAAGCTGGAGCCCCGTTTAAAAATGGGGGAATGTAAAATTAATTCTTTTCTGAAATAATATGTTTTAATTAAAATGCAAATTAATTAAGTCCAGTATAATCAAAGGGGTAACTACCATGTAGCGACGTCGCGACACCAAATTGGAGGGAGTCGAAAGAAAAATTAATGGAAAATGAAATCAGGACGGGACAAAGACAGGGGAATTCTACTCTTTTAATTACACGAAAAAAGTAATTACGGCAAGATAATTAATTAACTGGAACAGAAGTAACGATTAATGATTTTATTATACGAAGAAGGTCGTCGGGGTTGCTCCAATTGAAATTTCTTTCGGCCTGTGCTCATCGTACACCGTTTTACACAGAATACGATTTTTATCGATGTTACGAGTTACTCGATTAGATTCAATCGACATTATGTACGTGAAGTGCTCCAACCGTAATAAATTCCCGATTTACGCAGGCCCATCCCACTAATTAAAAATTATACAGTTGTTCCAGGAGTTTTATGAATTTTATGGCACTTTGTGAATTATTTGAAACATTGGTCAGTATTTCGTACAAATACTTTTCAATGTTAACGTTAACGTTTTAAATACTTTTTTAAATAACTGTTTGGTATATTTTTTGAGAGTAGTCGCTACGTTGGAGTAAAATATTCAGGTCTATTTAATTATTATTATAGTAATACTAAATATAATTATTAAATCGCGATTGTTTCAGCTAGTCATTGCTGGACTTCACCATAGACCCAATTATCTTAACAATAGAGATCGTCGTTCTAGAATTCTATATGATTCTAGACTGCATTGGATAATATAGGGTCTTACTTTGTCACGTAATATATATATATATATAGCGATAGCAATTTTAATTATTAAGTCCGTTTGACTCTTCTTTAGATATCCTCATTTTATGTCGCGACAAGACCTGAAAGTACAGTCCCCAGCATAGTTCTTATTATTATTTTTTCCAAATTTTAACTATATTAATGATTTCTTAAAAGAACATCCATCTATTTAATAGCTCAGAAATAGATAAAACAGACTAGGTAATAGAAAGCACGCGCCCGCGCCTAGCCAAGTAAAAAATGGTGTAAGCCACTGTCAACGGAAGCCGTCCGAATGGTAATTAATTAACCGAATTGTGAGCAATGAAAGGAGTCATGCTGTTTTACAAATCACTCCAATTAACGATATTAAAAATACGATAACCGATTCGGTGCGTGAGTTTCCTTGAAATATTTGCTCCCTAGTGGGTGTTGTTGACAAGCGTGCGGCAGTATATGATGTTATCTTATTCAATTTCTGTTACGATTATGCTTTACAGAGCCGGTGTCTCGATAGCATCGATGCTAACGAGTGGTGTTTTATAATTTTAATCGGTATTCATTGTAATGTAAATGTAGTTTATAATGTGGGATTAAGTTTATAGTGATATTCCTTAATCTGATTTGACAGTTATAAAATACAAAGTATTTTGTATTGTTATAATAGTGTTAAATGTATTTTTGGTCAGAGTAACAAATAATTCCATGTTTTAGTTGTTGTATGTATGTTTAGTTGTTTATGTTGTTCAATACATACAACTACTTTTATTAACTTTTCATGGAATCTAATCCATTTTATTGGAATGTGATTTAATACGTTATATCGAAATATTACATACAGAAATTTATTAAATTGGTTTTTTCATCTAAATCTTCAATATACATTTCTTCAACTACAATATGGACGGAAAATAAACATATATAAGAAAGCATATTAGCTATATTTTTTAGATCTATGGATTCTGTAGCCTTCCATACATCATTCAAGTGTTCTTTGATTTCTCATTTACATTATTATATTACCTAATTATTATGAAAGGTCAACTAAGGCATTAGCAGCTATAACTTTAGGCTTCAGCTCTATTACGAGTTCTCTTAAATGATATTAGAAAAAAATATATAGTGCTAAAACGAATTATAAAATATACATATTTCAAAAATTTATATTCAATATTATATCATTCACATATATCTTACATAAATTCAGTCAGTTTCATTAGTAACCATACAATGTGTAAATCTTGAAAATGCACATCGAGACACCAGCACTGTTTTAAATTGTATACAACTTTAAAATTACACTGTGTAATTTATTACACAATAATCTTTTATTTGAACAAGTATCAACTCGTCTATGGGCATTTCTTTAGTGATTTCGCAGATATACATACAAAAATTAGAAAAAAAAAATTACCTGCATATTGCGCTTTGGCTGTACGCTGGTCCCTCTGTCACTGATAATGCTTGGCCAACTTGGGTCTGCGTGAGACCTAATCCAAGGCGTCTAAGTTTGAATGCCTTGGCGAATTCCTTGATATCTTCTAGGTTGATCCCGTCGACCACGTTGCTTGACGACTGACTAATAGTTGGTTGATCTGTTTGAGGAATAATTAATTTTAACTCTTTATTATTATATTTATTAACATAAGGTTTCGTAGCAGTAATGTCTTCCAGCTTGTAAATTATCTTAAGGCATAAGGAATATGATAGAACATGGAGATGAATTAATCTATAAAACCTTATTATGGTTATTATGGTCAGCTTTTAGAGACTTCTTCATGTATAGAATTGCTATGTCTTATAGCATAGTCTCTAAAAGCTGACGGTTTTGACTCTAGAATATAGTCTTACTTCCGAAAGTCGGGGGTACGATTCTTTATACGGTACTACCATTTGTATTCATGAGTATGAATATCTGTATTGGTCTGGGTTTTTTTATGTATATCATGTATACACCTAAAAAAATAATAAAATAAGTATTTCTATCAATTGTTTTAGTTGACTATATGACGCTATGTGAATTTTCCAGAATTATTATTAAAGTATGTGTATATATTCTTTCATGTTTATTCTTATGTTAATTAATATTGACCATCAAAATACATAGAGCTTAAATTTCTTACTAAAAGGGAACAATTCTAATTGGTAGTAAGAAGCTGTTCAGGACATAAGTGCGTAGTATTTATTATAAGTTACAACTTAATCCACAATGAGATGTACAATACATCTCATCCTGTTACACCGTTTAAGCGTTCAGTAAAATTATAGCCAAGTTTAGTGGGCAATTTATGTAATTAGTAGATGGTGGCGGCTCCTAATTATGCGGGATGTCATTAGTGGAGACGTGCTACCTTCGCAAAGGTTGGGCCGCGACTGCGCCCCCCTCCCCTCTAACCGATGACAAATTACTTTCGCTACTACCCCCGCTAGTTCAAGCAGTAGTCTGCATCAATTAAGACGAGGTAGGGTTGCTAAATTGGCAATCGTTCCTCCATTTACCGGTATTCGAAACGCAGACGATTTCTAATTTCGTTTGTTATCTACCAATAAGTTAGTGTTTGGGAAAATTTGTTCTTACCGTAATTAGTTTATGTGTGTGGGGTGATTTGGAGATGGGGAAGTAATTCTATAAAGCATTTGATTATTACAAATTGTTCTCTTTGATGTACGTGGATTGTTTTCTTTGTTACATTGTGATTAATTCAGTAAGTACATTGAATGTAATTTTAGTCAATACGTTTTTATCCAATTAATTTCCCAAAATAGATTAAAATAGAGAGATTGAAGGAGGTCTAGAAGAAGAAAAAATATTAATCGCAAAAGTGTTTGTCTACTTGTTTGTTAGGTTTTTATGATTGAAAATAGATTCGTATAACGAATACAGTCAAAAACTGTCATTTAACTTAAAAATGCAGACAAAGACGCTGGTAACACCTAGTTACTTATAAAGTAATTAAATATATTCTTATGTGTGGTATCGTAGAATGTTTACCTAACACTCAAATATAATATAATATATCTGATATTGCCCAGCATCCAGAAATCAATAAATGCATTGATTTGAATCTAAGAGCAGTTTTAGATTTAATCCATCAATAAATCCGCCTTATTGTAATTATACAATACATTGCTTATGTCTTGTCCTCATTGTATGTTACAAAGTTATTTCCTTATTCTTCTTCTTCAATTCCTAGCATACATTACAAAAACAAAAAAGTTTTACAGTTTCGTATTTTTGTTATAAAATTCATTCACCGTTATAATTGTGAATAATTCCAACTAATAGTATTCCTCAGAACGTAATACTGTTTCCATCAGCGTTAGCAAATGAAGAGGCTCGTAAACACGATCTGAGGCACTTTAATTTTTTCAACAACAGTCTGCTTTCGACGGCCAATTAGAAGAGCATCGCGTGATGAGAACGCACCCATTAATTAGCTTTCAAAGATAAGTCAATTGGCTAAACATTCGTAACTATAGCGTCCAAATTCAATAACAATAATGCATCTAGATACCGCACGGTTAATTGTTTAATACATGTAATAAATTAATTAGACACAATTAAAGTTCGCGTGTCGGTGTACGCGTTTATTGACCTGCGTTACGTGTGAGCAGAGCCGAATATTTTAGTTATAGTTCTCCAATTTGCGACGGTTATTAAGAATTTTCGAATTGTTAGCCACTCGTATCAAATTTCTTACGACATAACTACTATTTTGTATACGATATTATTGTGTGATGTTATATTTTATGAGTATACTAAAATCTTTAATGTACAGTGAAATAGTTATTATTTCCTAGGTATATGAAGAATATAATGAAATAACAATGTTTATTATAATGATACATTATTAGATAATAAATAAGAACATTATATCTGATATTGAAATAAAAGAAATCTCTTATAAACCTATTATTTTTATAATTGAACTATATATTACCCGCGACTTTGCCCTTTATATGTACAGATATACTACCGAAGCATTTTGCAAACATATATATTTCAGCCGACAAGCAATTTGCTTTGTAAGCTACGTTTTACTATTGACTACAGAGGGGTCTTAGTCTTCTGGAATGACCACATATGAGGGATAAGACAAACAAATAATATATTAAATAAAGTAAAATATTAAAGTAATGATATTAAAATTGCTTATTGGTACAAAAAATATCTAATTATTTATATCAGTTGTCTAGTGACCATAACACAAGCTTTGCTTACCGTGGAAGCAGATGGCGCTGTGTTAATTGTCCAGAGTTATTTATTTATTATTTTCATAGATAGTACAAAAAACAAATGAAGTAGCGACACCTCAACACATCATACATAACGCTACAGTAGTGAAGTGATATCCAACACTACAATATAAATTTTTAATACGACTTAAAATGGCAAACAAGTTATTGGCCTACCCATTGGAAAGTAGTCCGTACTGTCGCTAAAAATATATTTAATGAATATCAATACTTCATACGCTGTTATGAGCAAATATGTTGCAATCCTTAAGAAGAAATATTTATACCAACATATGCACCTTATTGTTATAATCAAATGTGCTTTTTAAATTGTAAGACATTTTTAGTATTTCATTATTTTTCCTGTTTTATTATTGCACTATGCTATGCCTGCGGTTTCAACCGTATGAAATTTAGCCTATGTGTTATTCTAATAAAGGCTACATTACCGTAAAGTTTCATAAAAATCTTTTTAATAATTTTTGCGTGAAAGAGTAACAAACATCCATTCGTACTCACAAACTTTCGCGTCTATATAATTAGTAAGTATGATATATTATTCTTTTTCGTCTATTTTATTACTGCATTAGAATTTATTCTTAAAATTCACGTTTTCCCAAACTAACCTTCGGCATTTTTTTTGTTGGAATGGCAAGCAAGCTGATGGACTACCTCATGGTAAACAGTAACCGTTGCCTATATACATGAACACCACTAAAGACATCACGTTATCGTTGATTAATTAGAAAACGATATAATTGTATATATAGAAAGTAGGTAAATATAGGTGGTACACGATAGTTCTATGTCTCGTTAAATCGCAACAAAAACAGATAATGAAGTACGACGTAATACGGTTACTTTACAAACTTAATTTCCTAAGTTTCACTGCAGTTTGTCTTCTTCACAAAAGTGGACACAAACTTTCATTATTATCGAACAATCTAACACTATGTTGGAGTATAATAAAGTTACATAAAACGTTCTATTATAGATATTGTCCTTTATTGAATACCGTGACATTGTAGAAGATACGTTTTGCTTTAATAAGTATCAAAGTTTCATTTCAGTCGATTTTTACAAAATAGTTTATTTAATACGACGAATGGAAGAGAAAAATATAGTGTAATATATTTTTCTCAACCCCAAATGAATGGGATAAGGAAGAAGTAGATGAAGAAGTTTATTTGAAGAATCTATAAGTAACATATGTGTTCGCATATGTAAGTAACTTATGTGGAGAAGATGACATATTAATGTTGTAGATATTTGTCTAGTTTAGTAATTAAATAAAGTAGTAATTTTGTAATAAAATAGTATGTTTTCATATAATTGAAAACTAGGTGACGACCTACTGAACATATGGCAAGTGGTAATGCCGTTGCTTATATATATGACGAGCAACATACAAATTTGGTAAGTCTTTTTTTTTACGATGATAATGGAACGGTGCACCCGCCTGCGCTTAAGGATTACGTTGGCGGAGCACCAGTGGAGGATGATAAGATGAGCATGAGGTCAGGTCAGTTAGTAAATTCACCAAGAATTTATCACGATGGTTTTCAGGGGGAACCGCGTGGAGGTCATTCATCATCAATTCAGTTTACTAACAATCGCCCCCCTGGTGGTAAGTATTAACCATCGCGTATATATATAACAAACACTATACATATCATGTTATCATTTGTGATACCGTCATTGTTATCATGTGTAAGGACTGCGATATCATGCATCGCATCATGTAATTGAACTGCCTTATATCACTCTTCAAACGTAAGCGTATAAAGCAGGCTGTTTGGCGGTAGAAATAAGTAAGACAGATCTTCGCAGAGAACATATTAAAAATAATTAAGTCACTTTTTTTCAAAGTAACAAATATTTCTTGACAAACCATAAACAAACGCTATGATAGCTCAATTTACACCTTTGCAATACTTTCATTATATCAGGTATAACTTTATTTGTATATTTTTCATTATACAAATTTCTCTTAGTATATTTCAAATTGTTTCCTCTAGAAAATGATACCACGCTAATATCAGTTTTGCGTTACCGAATGCCGACTAATGCCAAACTCACATGCCAACTCCATGCATATTTTAAAAGCGAAAAATTCGACATATTTCGATGCTAACCGTTATTTCGACATTTTATATTCAACGCTTCATTATTCTTAATTAAAGTTTTCGAGTGATTAGGTGAATCATATATACTTTGACCAAATTACGTTTGTTCCTAGGCTGTATGTGAAACAATTCTTTTCGTTAATGACATAAGGAAGAGAATTGTAAAGCTATTCAATTTCCAACACGCAAATTAACAATTTGTTAACAGATGTAATGGGTGAAATTACGCGCGC